AACTCAACAGCCGTCAAAAATATGACCAGAAACCAGCTCTGGCCTTTGTTAGCCACAAAATTGGTCTCCATCTACACGATTCAGTGGAGCCAAAGGAGTGGACATGGTCTGCAAACTAGAGCCAAACTTACTTCCTTTGTGATTTTGTAAGCTTGCAATGAATGACAGTTTGTGTCTCCTGCAAGATTCACATTTGCTTCAATGGAGTTCACTACAGTTTGTTCAAGCCCTTGATGGATATAGGGAAAAGAAAGAAGAAAAGAAGGACACTGAAAAAGGTACTGTTCTCCAACACTGGTTATTGGTGCAAGCAGAGTTTATTCTGTTATAAAAACTGGAAATATTCGCTGCTAAGAGGAGAAGCTCACTTACATTCCTATACAAGCCAATCCTCTTTAGAAAGGATGAAGAATTTCATCCCCTTCTTGAAGAAATGGTTTACTTTATCATTTATAAGCACTGGAAAACATGTATTTTAAGCTTTAAAGAACATAATAGCTTTGGATATTATGGCTAGATGACAAGGAAGCATAACATTAAAGACAATAAAATGTAAATCTTGCAATTTCTTTGAAAAGGTTACCCATGAAAATATCTAGAGGGATCTTCATGGGTGCTGATTTCTAAACTACCTCAGACCCGCTGAGATTAATGGTACAGAAGGATTCAGCACTGACACAACACTAACCTGCTAATGCTGATACTGCATGTTATGATACTTTACTCAACTTAAAATTTCAGCGACTGGGTCCCTTTGTGCCTTTCCCTGACTCGAAAGTGCTCTGCTGTTAGCTGCATTTTTCCATGTGTATCCATATACAATCATTCAGCACAGCCTCAAAATTCCCTTTCATTCACTAAGGTCTGTTAGCAGTTTATCACGAGGGTTGGTTTCCAGTTCTTGGCTAAGTTTTCTGGACTCCCTTGCCTGGAGTCCAGCCATGAAATGAACACACTGCTGAAGAAACTGCCCTACTAATGCTGCTTATAAAAGAAAGATACCTTCCCTGCATCACTCTGTGTTCATCTTCTTTATAAATTCATCAATCTGGTCAATTTAATCAGACCGCTATATTGGGAGCTCAGGTTGAAACTATTTGCTATGATGGCCCTATATTATTTTCCTGAGTTGGAGCACTTCAAGGCAGGACTTTTCATGCTATATTTCCCATATAGCCCCAGTGTATTAGCTTGTATTGCTGGACTGTGACCATTCAGTTGGGTGATTCGGACCATTCTGTCCATATGACTTCATTATTTACTACTCAACAAGCCTGTGCCATCTGCAACTTTCACTGACTAAGAACTATATTATCATTTAGATGGCCAATAAAATAATTAGAAACTTTGACAGATTGATTAATAACCATTACAATGATGATACATTGCTTATTTTTCAATATTTTGGACAATGCTTTTTTGCTGTTTTTTATGGTACTATTTCTTTGCTGGTTCAGAAACTTGCTGGTTTCTGAATAACTCCCTGCCTTTGTTAACATTTCCCATTTTCAAGTTACTCTGCCTGTCATTTATGCCAAAAATTCCTATCAGCTCTGGGACAGTGACCCTCATACACAAAAAAAATCTGCATATATCTATGACTGCATAGTGCTATTTTTCGTTTGCATAAACTAAGTGTGCCAGGATCATGAGTCACTAGGCAACTGCTAATTTATAGATCAAAGCTGAGCTCATTTCTCTCTGTTAGCATGACGTCCAGTTCTCAGCTGGCTCAAGCGGTTACTGCAATAACAAAAGACTGTGAAAGCAGTATCTTATCTATTGTTTTCATAAGCAGTAAGGGAGTTTTAATAGTTTGGTTTTTTAATCTCCTTGGCATGGGACTTCCAAAAGTTATCCCCAAAGCAAAGTGATCTGAGATAATTCAGGTTTTCCTCCTACATGTTAGCAAGTAGTTTGCCTTGTGCCACAGGGAAGTTTCATGTAGATGTTCAATGCCCCTATCAGTTTTGCCTGCAGTGGATCTGCCTGTCATCCACAGCCATGAGAAAATGCTACAATCCAAATGATCCAGAAATAAGCAAAATACAAAGCACAGGCATACATATTCTTCTATATGCTCTGATTTGCTTCATTTACCTTAAACAAATGGTGAGCAGCTTCCTGTAAAACTCGAGCAGTTTTAAATGCAGCAGTGAAAGCAGAGCGTGGCAGCAGTGAGGTCTGCTCTGTGGCACGCGGAAGCAGCCAGGGCTGCTGGGGACGGGCCCTGCACACCCAAAACTCACAGTCAGGAGCTGGTTCTAGATCAAAACAAGAAACATTATATTCATTATTCCACTGATTATTATATTAATAAATATCACTATTGTAAGCAAAGAGGGATATGCTTTTAAAGTGATAATTCTGGGTTGTCCGTGACCACTGCCTACCTCCACTGACAACATACTCGAGATGAGACACTTTTATCCCATGTCATCCTACAGGTCAAGCTGTAGCTTCCCAGGGACACACGCCAGAATGTCCCAAATAACATCCCTGAATGCCAGTGCCAAAAACAAGCCAGTGCTCTTCACACAGTGACAGTGAGAAATACTCCAGCAATACATAGCAGGCACAGCCAGAGCCACACAGATTACAAGCAGTATTAGTTTAATGCTGGAGACCTTTCTAGAAACATTTAATGATGACCACTTCACATTCTCGGTGAAAACAAATCACCTCCCACTCTATAAAACCCGAAAAAGGCAGAGGCAGAAAGGCATGTCCATGGTGCACAGTGACCCATGAGCAGCAGATGAGCATCAGCTTCAAAAGTTTCTCTGCTGGTCAGCAGAACTGCAACAAGGGCAGCTTCAAAAGTAAATATGCAGCAGCAAAGCTCCATCAGCACTTAAACAGTCGCTTTGACTCTGCCATGAAATGGTTTCAAATTATACTGAAAGGCTTTAGCAGAATTAGAGCAGAATGTGCCGGAGCAGAAGGTGAAAGATAACACACTTTAAATGATTAATTCAGTCAGTCTAAGTTTAAAAATCCTTTGCATTAGAAGAGAAACCTAGCAACTGCTGCTAGAAAAAAAATGAAAATACTATATATGCAAATATTCTGTGTTTCAACAGCTTTAGACGAAGCCAACACAAAATTATCCAGCAGTAACATTATCTGGCTCTTAATGAGCTGTGATCGTGATTAATATTGTAATGCTGCCCCACATGTTTGCTGCCGTTGAGGAGATTAGGGATATTATGCACAGAGGTTTTAGGAGCCAGAGCAAGTCACCCTGTGATGACTGAGTGACTAGAAAGGACTGAAGGTGTTCCACAAAGATGCTGATTTTTACAGTAACTCCCCTCAGAGTGCTTCCCAGCCAAACCATAATTCTGACATCGAAATTAGATCATTTTGGCTTTGGCTCGCTCTGACAGAAATCACAGAGCTATGTGCTCAGAAATAATTGCATTTTGCTGCTGTTTATACCCATATATATATGGATGTGCATGAAATGTCCAGCCTGTCATTATAAAATCCTTAATTGTTCTTTTTTTTTCCTGAATTAGAAAGCTGCACTGTTTTCAAGGCGTGATTTTTAATTTAAAACTGGCCCACTGTGTATTTGTTATGAGAGATATTGATTTGGGAGGGCAAATTTGATGCCCTAGATTTGACATGTTTACAGACTTCTGCTAAAAGAAACTTTTTTTTTCTCTATGAGTTAGTGAAGGGTCCCACCTGTAGACAGGGGAAAACAAGACCCAGCTAGCACATTTTTACAGTGCAGAATTGGGCGGCAGTCGCCTGCCTTATGTGGAACCGGAGGGACATCTGGTGACGTGAAGTTAACAACGCAAGTGAAGAGCCACCAAAAGGCTTATCGGCCTTCTGAGAGCTACGAAAGCTGCCGGAGCGACATCCCCCCAAGTGGAAATGGGGAATAAACCTAAAACAGTGACTTCAGCGAAGGCCGTTACAAGTGTTTATGAAGGGGCCCTGAGGGGCAAAACCCCCCGGGGAGGTGGCGGGGAGCCACAGGCGCTGGGCGGGGGCGCCGCCGGCGCCCCTTCTCGCTGCGCATGCGCGGGCAGGAGAGCGCGCTGTGCGCATGCGCAGACGGGAGAAGCAGTGCTGCCCCTACCC